TGTGTATATGTACTATAATTTTTCAGTTGTTATGTTGATGGACATCATTGCTTGTTCTATTCTTCACTAATGTGAGTAGAATAGCTGTAAACATGGACCAGTAAGTATCTCTTTGGCATGTTGACTTAGGAGTATAGTTGAGAGTGGTATTGGGTTATAGGGTAGTGGTAACTCTGCTCTTTTCAAGACCTGTTTTTTTTTTTTTTTTAATTTTTATTTATTTTTTGGGGGGTGTTTCTATTTTTGATGATCTTCATGCAAAATTCCATAATGGCTGTAAATGTTTACATTCATAGCATCAATGAGTAAGAGTTGTGCTTTTTTTTTTAAAAAAAAAACTTTATTTGCCTTTATTTCATGCGCATTGGTATAATGATGTCAGATTCTCTTGAACTGGAGCTACAGACAGCTGCGAGCTGCCGTGTGGGTGCTGGGAATTGAACCCGGGACCTCTGGAGGAGCAATCAGTGCTCTTAACCACTGAGCCATCTCACCAGCCCCCGGGTTGTGCTTTTTTAAAATCTTAGCTAGTGTTGTCCTTTGTTTCCTGAATATTCTTAACTGACAAGGATGGCAAACAAATTTTTGCAAGCATTTGTTGGTCACTTTTTTTTTGAACTGTTTATTTAGTTCATTAGATAATTGGATGATTTGGATGTTTTGGTGTTTAAATGTTAAATCCATGTAGTTGGCATTGATTTCCCTCCCATTTCTGGAAGCATTCTTTTCATTTCAGTGATTGTTTCTTTTGTTGTGCAGATACTTCCTACTTTCTTATGATCCTGTTTATCACATTGTGGGATTATTTCCAGTGCTATTGTAGGTCCTTTCAGAACAATCCTTGCCCACTCCTGTCTTGAAGTGTTTTGCTTATGTTTTTTTCTAGCACACTGATTCTCAACCTGTGGGTTGTGAACCTTTGGCATTGTTGAATGACCCTTTCACAGGGTCAGATATCCTGCATATCAGATATTTACACTAAAATTCATAACGGCAGCAAAATTATGGTTATGAAGTAGTAACAATAATTTTATGTTTGGGGGTCAGCACAACACGAGGAACTGTGTAGCGCAGGGTGGCCTTGAATTCACAGAGATCCATCTGTCTCTGTCTCCTAGATCTGGGATTAAAGGATTTATTTATTTGTTTATTTGTGTTATATATTATATATTCTATAGTTTTGTTAATTTGTAAATCCTTGAGCCAGGGCTAGGGGAGAGGCTTAATGTATGTTGGACGGTATTAGACCTGTAGCATGCTTCCCAAATCAGAACACAAGACAACTCCCCATTACCATCCTTCCCTCTTCCCCAGTCTTTGTTGGCCTTGAATTGGTGATCCTTCCACTTCAGCCTCCCAGTGCTGAGATTATAGACAAGATTCACTAAACTTGACTTTTTTAAATTAAAATATTTTTCTGCATCAGATACTGCAAACTGTTTTCTTTTCCATTTTCTCCCCTCTTTGCTCCCTCCGTTTTAGGCTAGTACTCTACCTCCTAGCTGCATCCTCGTCCAGTGGCTGATATCTCTCCACTATTGATTTAGTTTTTCATGTTGTGTTTTGAGGGTTCAAAATAATTGTGGTATGCCACAATTTGGTGGAACAGTAATGTTTTGATGCAGTTAAAATTACTCTTAGACTAAGAGGGTTTGAAAGTCAACAAAACAAACCTAAGGGAATGGGACAAGCGATAGAGTTAGCTATTATTATTATATTAAAGTACTTATGCAAAATAGTAGTTTAATAAGATACTTAAGTGCTGTAGAAGCTGTTATTCTGAAATGTTGGGTTGGGTGTTGATTAGTCTGTTTCCTGGTACTATAAAATACCTGAGCTGGGTACTTAATTAACACAAGAAATTTATTTAGCTCATAGCAGCATCTGATCTGCTCTGTTAGTTACTTATTTCATGTAAAATGGAGATGCCTTCTTGACAGGGTACTAAGGGAGGTCAGTGAGACAGTTTATCACCTATTAGGAAGTAGCAGCTACACAGAAATCCAGATCATAGATACTTGAGTGTAACATTTTTCTTTAGAAGACTATACTGAGTAGAACAATTTAGTATCTATACATGCCTGGTACTAATGTATTAAGTGGGTCTTTTTAAAAGTTTATATGAATATCTGGGTTAGAGTAACTATTTCATAGGAGTACAATTGTCAAATACATATTTAAGGAATGTGAAATACTGGTTTAAGGACACATTTATTTAATAAGCATCATAAAATACATGTATTTTGGAATAACTAGGAAGAGGAGTTTAAGGGATTCACATTGTAAACAGTACTAGTAAAGAAGTGGAAATGTTATTTATGATGTAAAATGACTTTTTATAGTTTATTCATTGTAGCAATATGTATCAATATGTAAGAGATAGCTGCAAATAAGGTGATCATGTGTCAAGAAACCTTTCAAAAAATAACAGTATTTGTTTAAAAAGAGACTGGTTCTGGAGTTAAAACTCAAAGATTTAAAAGTTTTGCTTAAAAAGAATAAAGTATAATCAATTCATAAACAACATTTTGAACATTTTCTTGTTCCCTTTTATTGTAGATGGAAGAGTCTGTTCTCATTCCTTATAGTAGTCAAGTCTATTTGATCATGTTTTCTTTCGTTTTACTCTTGAACTCTGGGAGTTTTGTTGTAGTTTGAATGTGTCCCCTTCACACATCATACGTGTCCCTTTCACGTTGAGTCTCAAATTCCTAGTGCAGTCATGTTAACAGGTGAAGCTCTGAGGGGTGGTTAGGCCATGTGATCTTTTGGATAGGATTAGTCACTTATTAAATGGCTTGAGGGGTGACCAGCCCGGCCATTTTGCCCATCTGTCTGTTACGACATGTGAGGCCACTACAATAAGGCACCATCTTAGAAACAGGAACTGGACCTTTACTAAATACAAACCTGTCAGTACAGCACTGTGAGAAATAAGTTGTAGTTATTTAAGGAGAACACAAGTTAAGTATTTTGTAGCACAAGCAAAATAAGACAGATTTATTTTCTGTGCCCTGTTCTTTGTTTGTTTGTATTAAGGTTGGTGGTTTGGGAGGAATTACCATTTAATTGATCATTGTCCTTTTTTGGTTAAAAGAGAAGGATTTAACAACAATAACAAAATCACGAAATCTTCTATTTCTATACTGCCGCCCACAGTACCTTTTTCTCTTGGTTTTTTTGCTTGCCAGTTTTGAGGGTTGAGTGCTCTTCTTGAGTGCTCCTACAGTTTTGTGGTAGTGTTTGGTTATAAAATAATATCTTAGTGATCTTTGTCTCTAATAGACATAAAGTTTAATCTGCTAAATGTAAATTCTTTCCTATATATACAGTGTTTCTCTTCAGGTGACATATAAGCATTTATGGAAGTAGTGATTTAAAAATAATTTTAGGTTTGACTTTGTCATTTAAGTTAGTGATGTTAAGAAAAATGAAATTACAGCATTTTTCAGGAAAAGTAATGAAACTGGAAATTATGTGAGAAAATGCAAATTGAGACAGGTATCACATGTTTTCACTCATGGGGATTTAGAAAAGGTGAGGGGATATATAAAATCAGAAGGGACTATTAGGGAAGATAATAGGATTAGTGGGAAGATCCGAGGCAGAATACCACGATTATGGTATGAAATAGGCATATATAAGAAAATGCTGCAATGAAACTCAATTGTTTTATGCAGTTAATATATGCTGAGAAAAATAAAGAGGGACCCTTAATGCATGTATTACTAAAAGAAATAGTTTGAAAAGGATATAAGCTGTGATTCTAACCAGATAATGTTCTAGCAAAGGCAGTACTATGCGCATAGTTAAAAAGACCAATAGTTGTCAGGGATTTGGAGTAGGAAGGAGTAAATAGGTAGAACACAGGTGAATTATAGGGCAGTGAACCCTATTCAGTCACCACAGCTGTAAATGGTTAATAGATGTCTTACATTTGTCAAAACCTATGGGGTGTACAACACCAAGAGTGTACTCTAAGTAGAAACTATGGGTTTGAGTGATAATACCGTATTAAGTAAGATTAATTGATTTTTGACAAAAATTATTCTAGTTTGGAATGTTGATAGTACAGAAAGTTGTGTGTGGTTATAGATGCCATGTAGCGATTTTTTGTACAGATTTTCTGTGAACCTATTTTATCTCCCCCTATTTTGCTGTTTCCTGAATATCATAAGTTCCACATACAACATCAGTTTACCAGATAATTCCATTTTAAGTTGATTTTTTTCCATATATAAGACACTATACTTAGGTCTGTGTTAGAGAATTTATTATCTAACCCTTGATAACTAATAGTTATATAAAACTTTTTGTGTTGGTTACTTTTCTTGTGTTTGTGACAAAATACCTGACAAGAAGAAACTGAAGAAAGGGTTTGTTTTGTCTGAGAATTCAAGGGGATAAATACCACATGGTGGGGAAAGTCAAGTGGCAGGAGCAGGTTGCTGGGTGATCACATTGATCAGATTGTTCAGTCTGACCATGAAGCAGAGATCTGTACATTCTGGTGGTTAGCCAGTTTTCTCCTTTTTATGTAGTCCAGAGCGTGCTGCACATTCCCATTTATTTAGGGTGATCTTCCCATTTTAACCTAGTTATATCTAGAAATTTGTTTCCAAGGTGTTTCTAGATCTTGCCAGTTAAGCAGCTCTTGATGTAAGTACTATGAAAGAGTAACTGGATTTTGAGTAGGCGACATGGCTTTAAAAGGTACTTGCAGCACAACCTGTTAGTCTTTGAGTTCAATCCCCAGAACCCACTTAAAAGGTGGAAGGAGAAAACAGCTTTCTGCACAGTTGTCCTCTGACATCGCATATGAACTATAACCCCTCCCCCCATAATAATAGATAAATAGTTTTAATAAGAATACTGGGTTGTCCATAGACTGACTGATTTGGCTTATTCTTTTATGTGTGCAATGATTTCTTTCCATTCGGAAACTTTTGATGTGGTTGGGAGATGGCAAACATAAACATTCTCTTGTGACTATTCTATAGGAGACTCCTTCACAAATAGAGATGAAGAAGAAATCTTTGTATAACCAGAATGTGGGTGATCAGGAGTGTGAAGATGCGGAAGGTAACTTTGTTGTTTATAAAGCCTGTGTGTTGAAAGTCAAATAGTGTCACTAGGCTTTAAAATTAAGATTTCTAAAGTATTATTGTCTTGTTTTTATAGTTGTAAGAATTATACACTTTTCTTGGTTTCATTGATTGAGCATTTTTAGTTTAACTGCTGGCTGTATTTTTTTTTCCTTGATTTGGGTTAAGTGTGTCTGTGTATGTGTACACATTTGTGTGTGGAGGCCCAAGGACAGTCTTGGGTGTTTGGCGTGTTATTCCTCAGGTACTCCTCACTCTTTTTTCTTTTGGAGACAGGGTTTCTTAGTGGCCTGGTACTTTTCAAGTTGGTTGGCCAGCAAAAGCCCCAGCAGTTGGCCTGTCTCTGCCTCCTTAGCACTGGAATTACAAACATGTGTTACTTGGCCAACTTTTAAAATGTGTTTTCTGGGAATTGGCAAGCACATTACTGAGTGAGCTATCTGGCTAGTCTTTCTTTTTAAAGTTTTAAAAGCATCAGTGTTTTCTTATCTTCTAAAGTTAATCTTTTTTATTTGTTTACTTTATGTGTATGGGTATTTCGCCTACATTGTGTGTCTGTTATTATGTGTGTGCCTATTATTATGTGTGTTTATATTGATGTTTAATCTGAAACCCTAAATGCCCAGTTCAGATATTCTTTATAGAGTTTGTATTCCTTCATCCTAGACTCATACTGGAACCATGTGAGCTCCATTTGAGTGTCTTGGCTTAATACTGATCTGTTGCAGGAAGTCCTTCCGCTCCTCCAGCCTGATCTCTTTTTCAGATTAGTGTATTCCCGTCTGGGGGGGCTCCAGGTTGTATTGAATTGTATGTATTGTACAGTACCTACTGCTTGCTTATGGCCCAGTATATATGCTTTTAAGTTGATTACTGTTAGGAGTTTAAATTGGTACAGTCTCACAGAGATAGATTTGGTATATCTATTCCTGTGTTATAAATGTACATGTTAACCCAGTAATTCCAGTTTTTAAGAATTGCTCTGTAGATACACTTTTTGAAATGTTAGATGATTGTGTTACGATATAAGCTCATTGGTAGAGTACATGCTTCATGCATGGAGTTCTGGGCTCCATGATTCTCATTCTTTGTCATAGCTAATGGTTGAAAACAAGTGAAATGTTCATTAATAAATTATTTTAAGAAGCAGATTAGTATGTATAATATTCTGGTGTCTGTGTGAAGAAAGAAAAGAAATATGGAAGAATATATTTTAGGGTTTACACTAGCTTGTTCACTTAACCCTGCGATCCTAGTACCTGGGAGCCTGAGATAGGAGTATCGGGAGTTTGAAGCCAGCCTACCTATTGAGAAGCACTTTTTAAAAAATGTTTTTTGAGGCAGGCTTTCTCTGTGTAGTCCTGGCTGTCCTGAGACTCACTCTGTAGACCCAGGCTGGCCTTAAATTCAAAATTCCCTACCACTGCCTCCAAGTACTGGGATTAAAGGCCTGTGCTACCATTACCAGTCCAAGAAACCCTGATTTAATTGTGGGAGGGCGAGGAAGGAATTTCTTTTTTGTGCATTAAAAAACAATGGAGTACCAAAAGAAACTTAGAGTTATTTTTGGATTTGACAGAAGTGGATGGGTGTATGGGTAGGTTTGCTACTGTTAATCATTTTTACATTTGAATCAGGTAAATAATACTTTAAAATTAAATAATTGTTCATTTATGCCCCCATTTCGTCACTGATATAAGAAAGTTGATTGAGAATTTAGCTAAGTGGTAGGGCATGTGCTTGGTATATACAAGGTCTTTGTTAAATTTCCTAAACTCTCCATACTCCTTCCATAAACATACACACACAGTGCACAAAAGAAAGTAATAGTTGGTGTTATTGAATTTAAAGAGTATATTTGTCATTTATCTAAGATCTAATTGCAGAGTAGGAGGGCTACCTTTTGAGGATACAGGCAACCATATTGCTTATTCAACATAAGTCATTGGTTTTGGGGCTTTTGAAAACATGACCTTTTTCTTTTTCTTTACAGATGAAGAAAACAGAAATAATGCTGGTACCTCTGGCCTTTTATACAGTGGAGCGGACAGATGTCCAATATGTCTTAGTTGCTTGTTAGGAAAGGAAGTTGGTTTTCCAGAAAGTTGTAATCATGTCTTCTGTCTGACCTGTATTCTTAAGTGGGCAGAGGTAATAAATTATTGCATTTAATTTCCTGTTATAGTTTTATTTCACTTAAAGAGTTGCTACTGCCTTTCATGAATTTTTCATATTAAGGTATTTTCCCACTACTATAGTCACATTTCCCTGTCTGTTCAATTTCTGTCTGCATATTTCCTTCTAATTGTTTTTTACTTAGCGTTTTTATTCTTTTATATAATTAAAGAATTTGTACTTATACTTTGAAGAAAACCTTACAAGAAGAGCAGGCCAAACAGCTTTCTGACTTTTAGGGTATTGCACCTGCCTGCTACTAATAACATTCCTGTGTGCTTTTTGTTTTATGTTTTCACAAAGGTTTATTTGATTTCTTATGTTAACCTATGGGATAACAAGAACAGATGTCATAGTGTCTTTTTACTTTAAAAGCTTAGGGATCTTGCATGTTAATGTAATGTAATTTGGCCCAGATTGCATATCTTGGGAGGCTATTATCAATTTAGAATTATATAGTTGTTAATTTTTAATTTATCATAAAGTAATTTCAGAGTTTGAGTTACAGATTTTCCTTTAGATTCTTTATAAAAATAAGAAACAAGATATTTTGGGCTTTGACTACCCTGAATCAATTTGGGCCAAATAAGTTGAAGTGTATATTAACCTTAAGCCCTGTTGTTATAAATTATAAAATAACAAATTTAGTGTTTTTATATCAGGTTTTGATTTATTATTTTGTGAGTATATTAAAAATTAGTAATAAGAAGTAAGTAAATTAGTAAAAATTAGTTGTGGCTTAAAATTGTTTTTTCTTGTGTTTGGATGTTTTTTTAATACCATAAAACACTAACTTCATGTATGCAAATCCTGTTTTTCTGGTTAACCTTTATAAGAGGTTCATTAGACTAGTTGAATTAATGAATATATGAAAAAACCTTTAATCTAGATTAAAAACCTAACTAGTCTTTGATGACAAGAAGAGATATGAATTTGGGGAGAATATTGTTAAATGTTCATATGTAAGTGCAGTGCTGCTTATTGAAATGATGCCTTTTCTCTGCCACTCAACTACAGATGTAAATTTTATTGAAGTTAGTGCATCTGTGATTATATATGTATTTAACTGGGTGGGAGTTGAGAAACCCTGTTATTGCATGAGTTGAGTTGAAGGTTTCAGTCTTTTTCCTGATTGTGTTCAGTGACCATATAATTATGAACTTCAAAATAATGTGTGTTTTTCTTTAAGACAATTAGAATATATATACATGATTCTCCTTCCTTCCTTTACCACCTCAAGTGCATCTTTCAACATAAACTTTATCATGATGTACATGTTACAGGTTTCTCTGGGGTACGTATTGAGAAGTTGTAATGGCTATCATACATATAGATTATATGTAATTTAATGGCACTAAACAGTGGTAAATAGCTATATTTTAACTCATTTTAAATTTGAAAATACTTGGCAATATATGTAAAGTCAGCACCTTTTTTTTAACATATAATGTATTCCTTGCTTTTTGTTACTTTGTAAAAATTTACTTTTAATTGTGTGTGTGTATATGTGTGTGGGAGTATGTGCCTACAAGGCCAGAAGAGGATGTCTGAGTCTTGGAGTTGGAATTACAGCTAATTGTGAGCTGCAGACATGGGTGCTGGAAACCAAACTTGAGTCCTCCCTAAGAGAACTCTACAAGAGAGCAGTGCATGTTCCTAACTGCTTAGCCATCTCTCCAGCCATAGTATTTTCTCAAAAATAAACAATTTATTGAAGTGAAGTTGCTTTTCAAAAGCAAGTTATGTGTACTATTGTACTGCTGTCTTAAGTTGCGATTACGGGGTAATGTGGAGTTGTTGTACTGTTTAACAAAGTAAGTAACCTTGGAAGGAGAGAAGAGAGAACATTCAGAACTAGGTCATTGTTCCTAGTGGAGATAGCAGCCATTAGTAAACCATTAAATTGACCAGTAACAATAGAGAAATCAAAAATATTGTTCATTACAAATCATGAATAAATGCAGGCTTACAGAGTTACTTAGACTTCTAAATTTTCATTCAGTCTTTTGTTCTGATAACAATTAGATGCTTTTTAAATTATGTAAATGCTTTGGCAAACAGAATCAGATTTTAATTTCATTTTTTTTATTGTCACCATTAAAGGGCTTTCTAATTTTTTTCAACCTCCTGTTTAAAGAGTTATGCAGTCTGTTTCAGATTGAGTACTGGAAATAAATGCTATGTTTAGAGACCCTTGCAGGTTATATTTTCTATTCTTTCATTTAATTCACTATTTTAATGTTTATTTTTTGTACAAAGCAAGCACTCTAGACTCTAAAGTAATTTGCAGACATCTCAAGAATAGCCTAAAGTTAAAATAATTTTTAAGAATCTTTAGTTTAAAATTTTACTAATGTCCAATTCTAGGAGAGGCATAGATATCAAAGTAAAATTGTGCTACTTGGATAAGAAAAGCATAGGATGCGTTCTGGATCATTTTTCTAGATTTTTGTGTCTTTTAGAGATGCAGCTTTGCTGCAGTTTGTAGTTGAGGTTTACTGAAGTATGATTAAGAATGGGTATCAAGGTGTGGGTAGCAGAGGCAACTGGATCTCAAAGGCAACTGGATCTCTGTGAGTTCAAGTCCAGCCTGGTCTAACAGAACTAGTTTCGGGACTGGCTCCAAAGCAACACAGAGAAACCCTGTCTCAAAAAGCAAAAACAAGGAGGCTGGAGAGATGGGTCAGTGGTTAAGAGTACTGACTGCTCTTCCAGAGGACTCGGGTTCAATTCCCAGCACCCACATGGCAGCTCACAGCTGTCTGAAGATCCAGTTGCAGGGGATCTAACACTTTTGTACCAATGCACATAAAAAATAAAGTTAAATAAGCCATAAAGTATTTTTTTTAAAAAAGCAAAAACAAGAAAAGAAAGGGTATCAAGCACACCCTTAGCATTGAAGAAATTCTTATATGAAACTGGTTATTTAGAAAAGTTTCAGTGTATTTTAGTATAATATTTTTATTTTGTACAGACTCCTGAAATTTTTTATATTCCTAAAGTACCTATTCCTCAAATAAAAGTTAGTTTGAGTTTCTTGGTACTCTAAAGTCTTGTTTCTGTGGTTAAACAAACAAACAAAATTGAAGCAGTAAAGTAACTAACTGACAGTCTGTGGTCTCTAGGTATGTCATAGAATTCACTTTACTTAGGAAGAAGGTTTCAGCTTAATTTCCCCTGTACCATTGTCGAGGCCCCAGAATCTAAAGGCCTGCTGTAGGTATACTAGAACAGATTGAACCTCTTATGACTATGTTCAGTTAAGAGGTTCTTTAGATGGCAAGGTTCTTATCTTAAAAGTACAACCAGGATACATAGAGTTCTGAAAAGCCGATATGGTGTTGTACATGTGCCATCCCAGTATTGTGAAGCTGAGATTGGATTGTCACAAGTTAAGAGGGCAGGTAGCTTGGGATACATAGCAAGTACCAGGCTATGCAGGACGGTATACCAAGGCTTTGTCTTAAATAAGGGAAAGGGGGAATAGAAGAAAAAGAAATGGAATATTTAACAAAAATGTAATTGGCAGAAGTACCCTGTTGAAAGTTTTAGTAGGCCATTACTATTGCAGCTAAGAATCTTAAAATTTAGAAAAGGCGTTTGTCCTGATAAGTGTTATAGAGCCAGTGTGCTTTTACCTTTTCACTTAAAAGATTTCTTTTTCTTGGGGCTGGAGAGATGGCTCAGTGGTTAAGAGCATTGCCTGCTCCTCCAAAGGTCCTGAGTTCAATTCCCAGCAACCACATGGTGGCTCACAACCATCTGTGATGAGATCTGGTTCCCTCTTCTGGCATACAAACATACATGGAAGGAATGTTGTATACATAATAAATAAATAAATCTTAAAAAAAAAAGATTTCTTTTTCTTACACACTGCTGTTTCTCAGCTGGAGAGATGACTCGGCGATTATGAGCATTAGTTCCCACCACCCACATGGTGGTTCACAATAGTTTGTAATTCCACTTCCAGGGGTTTTTACATCATTTTCTGACTTCTGTGGGTTTCTACGCTCACATGGTGCCTGCACATACTATCAGTTACATGTGAACACACACACACACACACACACACACACACACACACACACACACACACACATTGTAGGAGGCCACTAGTTAGTTCCTGGCTGCTCAGCCCTGAAATAATCACTCAGAAACTATATTATTTGCAATACTGTTTGGCCAATAGCTTAAGCATATTGCTCTTACATCTAGAATTAGCCCATTTCCATTATTTTATATTTTATCATGAGGCTTGTGGCCTACTGGCAAGGTTCCAGCTAACCTTCTTTCTCCTCTGGTACTACATGGTGTCTTCTGGCTCTGCCTTCCTTCTTCCAGCATTCAGTTTAATTTTCCCTGCCTAGTTCTACTCTACCCTATCACAGTTTCTTTATTCATTAACCAGTAAAAGCAACACATAGACAGAAGGACCTCTCTCTCTCTCTCTCTCTCTCTCTCGCTCGCTCGCTCGCTCGCTCGCTCGCTTGCTCGCGCATGTGCGCGCACACAAATATTTTTCTTAAATAGAGCTTTGAGCACACAGAAGTTTAACTTCATTTATCTGAGTTTGCCCTTTTAAAAATACAAAGGCGAAGGCTAGAAAAGTTGGATGCGTCAGTGGAAGTAGTGACTGCTGATCATATTTATGATCCTCTACGGAGGAGATACCTCACCTGTATGTACTGAGTAAGAAGCGTGGCTTTCACTTTGGGTTTGGGTATTTAAAGAGTTATGGATTGAGAACTTTGCATGAGAATGCTTTGAGAAGTATTGCATGGTTAAAGGTTTAATAGTTCATACTATATTTCGTGTTGGTGCTGAGGATTGAGTATACTAAGTACATCTTCTGCACTGAGCTGGATATGCTGCATTACAAGGGCGTGTGGTGTTTGTGCTGTGCGTGACTAGTATAGTCTTGATAACTACTGAGGGTTCTCCTTTTTATCTTACATATTTTTAAAGTATTATTTTAAAAATGTAATTAGTTTCTCTACATAAGGAAATTGTTGAATTTGCTTAACTCAATCCTCTATTCCTCTGTAATACTGACAACTTTAGTCTGAGAATGAAAGGTTAATGAAGTCAAATTGGGCAGTTAACAAAGGCACTCTCCTGAGAATAGAAATGAAGATACCCTCAAGATGACACAGAGCTCTTAAGAGCAGTGTGCACACAGGTGCAAGTGTGTCTTTAGATAGATTAAACAGCAAAGGTTTAGAAAGCAGTTGACACCTGTTACCTAAAGACTATAGAATATATGTGAGAATCTTCATTTAATATTTTTTACCATTCAGATAAATTAATCTTTACATACATATTTCTATATTGGCTAGTTGTAAATGTCAGAATATTTAAAATGATTTATATAGTCAATTTACTGAATTTTCTGTTTGTATATTAGAAAAAGAGCATTAATTATTAGATGTCAGACGACATTAGAGAAAGTACATTATCACCCTAGTGTTAACAGTGTATCTTGGTGAATATGCAAATATTCCTTTTACTCGAGTGGGTATATTGAAAGCATTCTTAGTGTTAATTTTACCGTTGACAGTCATTAATTTTATGGATATGCTTCTGAAAGCTGGTGTAAAGAACCAGATGTGTACTGGAGGTAGTGGTGCACGCCTTTAATCTCAGCACCCAGGAGGCAGAGGTAGGCGGTTCTCTGAGTTTGAGGCCAGCCTGATCTACAGAGCAAGTTCCAGGACAGCCAGGGCTCTACAGAGAAACCCTGTCTCAAAAAAATTAAAGGAAAAAGAAAGAAAAAACAGCCAACTGCGCATTGGCAAAGGCTGTTTTGAGTGAATGTTTAGACATGATAGAGAACATGTAGCATGGCTCAATGTTGGCAAGCCTTGATGGCTAACTGTGTTGGAACTATTACTGAGAAAGGGATAATGGTTAACAATTCTAAAATAAGCACCAACCTCTAACGGTTTGCATCCCTAAATTATCTTTGATTTTGAACTGTAATTTTGTGCATAATATGCTTTATTCCTTAGTGGCAGAGATAGGTGTTGTAGATACCCACGAACAGGAAGACCTACCTGTAAGCATAGGTATTGAGACTTAGTGTTTAAACACGTCCTTTAACACTTGCTTCTCTCTCTCTAGGAGGGGCTATCTATAGGCAGCCTATGTGATTGAGGATAGAGCAGCATCAGGAAGCAAGAAATGTTAGAAACCAAGAATCCTGAATTCCCAAATAAGGAAGGTTTCCTGTTGTTACATTTAAATATGGGTTTGTCTGAGCTGGGAATTTACAACGCTTCAGAATACTAGGGTATGTTTTACTAAAATCATTAGGAAAGATTTTTTTTTAATCAAAATTGCCTCCTATAACAGTACAGAGCATGTGCTATAAGATGTGTGCTCTGTTTTTCATACACATTACACTGTAAAACAATGAGCAAGTTTTATGAGCTGTAGTTGTATCATAAAGTTGAATGGTGTTCTTAGATACTTTGGTTATAAAACTAATTAGATACTTAAAATTACTTGAAGTCACATATAAAATAGGTAAATAATGATATTTTTGTTATATGGTAAAGAATCAAAATGGTGAACACAAAATTTTGCATATAAAAAGTTTAATAGTCTTTAAAGTTAAACTCATTTAAAATGTTAATTTTTATCTATTAGCCTTAAATAGGGGCTTTTTAAAACTTGAAGCTTAAAAATTCAGTTAATATTTGTGGCCAAACAAATCACTTTGAAAACTATACTTTGAAGACCAAAGTGTCTTGGGGTTTTCTCACTATCTATTAAATGTAAGGATGAGAATCCTTTGGGAATGCCTTAAAGTAGCCAGTCTAAGCCATTTAAAAATAAAACAAACTCTGGTGTAAACTTTTTCTATTAAAGCTGTACAATTATCACATGATGTAATTTGATACTTGATGTGTAAGAGTATATTATGGAAAATAACAGTTCTTAATTTTTTAATATTTTGATTTTTTCCATTGACTTCTATAATTATTTTATTTACATATACTTCGAAAATGGAGAAGAGATACTAGATTTTTGTTTTCTTCCTGAAGTGCTCTTCTACAATGTATGTTTTTTAAGATTACATTTGGGAGCATTGTTTCCCAGCAAAGGCTTTTTTATCTTACCTTTCTGGGCTAATTTTTTTACTTAAACTTTTCCTACCTGGAGAAGATAATGCAATTTTAAGATTCTCGTGTTGATTACATCATCTTGAGGAAAGTTAAGTGTGTCCATATTATAACACATACTAGTTGTTTCTCATTACTGCTACTTCTTTTTTTGTTTTCCTTTGTTGTGTGTTTTTGCTATAGCAGTGGAGATCCTTATTCAAATGGGTCTAGTCAGATCCAAAGCATTAGTCACAGTAGAAAAAGGAATGGCAATCCTGCTCCAAACCTACATATTTGAAATAGATCAAAGCAGAGTGGCTCAGGTTAAAACCTTGTACTTTAAATTGCAGAGGAGCCAGGCGGTGGTGGCACTTGCCTTTAATCCCAGCTCTCAGGAGGCAGTGATAGGTGGGCCAGCCTGGTCTACAAGAACTAGTTCCAGGACAGCCAGGGCTGTTACACAGAGAAACCCTGTCTTAAAAAACCAAAGATAAATTAATGAAAAAAAGGCAACGGAAAGAATGGTGGTTAACTGATTTCGAGAGGAAATTTAATAAGGAGAACAATGAGACAATATAATTTTATCCACTGATTTGATACATAAATTTCTTTGGGTCATAGATTTATTATACTTAGCCCAGCAAAGTAAATCATTTATGCAATCATGTTTCTCATTTTTATATGTATCACATTACAGATTTTCCTGTTGTTAGTTTTTTTTAGGTTTTTGTTAGTGTAGTTAAACTAGATCTTATGTAGGAACTAGTGTATACCACATATTTTTCTAAGACTTGCAAACAATTACCATAGAAAGCTTAAAGTTCTTTTATTCCTGTTTTCACAAGTTACATACTTAAAACACAGAGAATCTGTGTAACAGGGCCCATATGTGGACAAAACAGGAAATAGGAAAGAAGTAAATACAGAGTTTGTGTGCATCTTATTTTTCAACAAACACTGAAAGAAACTTACGTTTCATTTAAATGAATTAAATATTTTCATTTATTCATTGTTTAATCTTCCAAATTGCCTTTAAAATGTAAATAAAAATATTTGAAAACTTTGGAAAAATGGAAAACACTGGCAAGATTGTCCTCTATATGGTTTCAGTATAGATGTTAAGAATGTGTCCTCTTAGACCCTTCACAGTCAGTGCCGACTAACAGGCAGCTGCATTGTTAGGACATCAGTTCCTTGAGTTAAAATTGTATTTGAAGCCAGGCAGTGGTAGCTCACGACCTTAATCCCAGCAGAGGATCTCTGTGAGTTCAAGGCCAGCCTGGTCTACAAGACCTAGTTTTCAGGACAGGGTCCAAAGCTGCCGTGAAATCCTGTTTCAAAAAAAAAAACAAAAACAAAAAAAATGTATTTGAAATACATTATTATAACGGTGCAGAGTACTTTTTTTTTTTTTTTGCTACTTTTAAAACATTTTGGGTAGCCAATTAATAGCATCCTAAATCGTGAGAATTTGGAAGTGCCTTACGGTGTCTTGTCAGAAGTGATTTATTGTAGTAAGGCCATGTTTTCTCTTTTCAGGGTGAGGAAACATTCTTGTGTGACTCAGTTTATATTTTAGCTGCTTTTTAATAACTCCACGAATTTTGTCACAATGTGTTATACAATCAGGGGCCACATAACATTTTTCAGTAAGGAATAGTATAAGGTGAACTAATTAAATTCCACAACTATCTTTGATCTTTTAGACAATTGCATTAAATTGTTAGAATTCTTTTTTACCTGTGTAGCTATAGTTACTAGTAATGTCATTCGATTGTTGTTTTTCCTCTTATCCTAGTACAAAACAGTTTGTCTTAAACTAATTTCACAGTATAAATACTTTCTTCTACATACATTTAACAATAGAATTATAGTTGATACATACAAACTTTTGAAAGCATAAGAATATATATCAAAATTAGGTTGATTTCTAATCAAAAATAATTAAAAGACAAATTTCCTTACAAACTAAAAAACACATGATTAAATTAGAAGAAAACTGGAAACCTAATGTAAAAATTAATATGGATAGATTTTTCCTTTAAAGAACTTTTTAATGTACTCTTAAAAATAAGAAAATATGTTCAAACTTATATGAATTAAAAGAAAACTAAAGTTTATGACATATCAGGATGTTAAGAAAAATTGCTTTGAACCAATGTCTGATCATTAATTTAGAAGAAAACAATGCAATTTATCATATGAATTATAATACTAAAAAGATTTGTGTATATTGGGTAGCAGCAAAAGTATGTAAGTACTTCTGGAGGGATTATTTAGAACCAACGAGACTGGAGGAATGCTTCATTCTTCCGTATTTTAATCATGTTCTCAATTCTAACAACTATTCAAAATAATTTGGCAGAAATGTTAAATCATAGGGTATTAATGTAAATGGCTTCCTTAAGGCATTTTTTTATAGCCGATTTAGAATTTCACAAGCTTAGCATTATAGTCAGCCTTATATGGCAGAGCAGTAGGTTTGAAGTATTTACTGGAGCAGCACGTCCTAATGGTATCTTAGTGAGTATGTGACAGCTCATGATTTCTTTACTCCAGTTAGTATTGTTTAGTGAGCATTTGAGTGAGTGAAGCAAACTTGAGGTGCTTGTGCTTTTGTGTTATGGTACAGTCATTTCCTCTCTGCTTTGAAATTAGAAAAGTATATTTCTGTGGTAGTGGAAAATTACAACTATTAGTGTAGTTTAATTGTAACCTCTTCTAAATACACAATGTAAATATATAATTTCTAATCACTTCTCAGATACTGGCTTCTTGTCCAATCGACCGGAAACCTTTTCAGGCCGTGTTTGAACTTAGTGCATTTGAAGGTTGTGCTAAGGTAAGCTTAGATTTCATTGAGTTTATGAACTTCAGAATGTTAACTGGAGCTACTTTGTTTTGATAAGTCTCTAGTTAATATATTTTTAAAAATTGTTCACCTTTTGGTTTAATGTGTGTCATCATTTTTCTCTAGCATGGCAAGCTCATAGCTTTCAACACTGGCAACTAAAATCCTGGACCTTTTTCCTTTGCCTTCTAGAGTGGGCATAGCATAGTGGTTACCTTATTGTACAGATGTGGTAGATGAGATGCTTTAAAAGAAGTGTTGGATTTCACTATAGAATAATTGGTATATTATTTGTGTTTTAATAAATAAAACTTGCCTGAAGATCAGAGGGCTAAGCAGCCATACAGGCCAGGGAGTGGTGGTATCACCTTTAATCCCAGAATTTGGGAAACTCAGGCTGACAGATCTCTGTGAGTTCAAGGTAACCTGGGCCACACAAGATTGAAACTGTCTCAAAGAGCTCACATCCCACGCCTTTAATCCCAGCACTAGAGGGGTGGAGGCAAGAGCTAGGTGACTGGGCTGAGAGAGAGAGAATAATATAAGGTGGGAGGAGACAGATGCTCATTGCAGTCTGAGATTTGGTAGAGACAGGATCTCACCCCTTTGGTCTGAAGACATGTTGGAGGGAAAAGGTCTGTAGTGGTTGGCTGCTTTGCTTTTCTGATCTTCAGGTTGAACCACAATATCTGTCTCTGGGTTTTTATTATTTGTGCTACAATAGAATACTTAAATTTCCAAATACCATCAGCATGATTGTTTTCCTGTATTTTGAAACAGTTTTTAGTTGGGCAGCACTTTGAATACATATATTTCATTAAAAAAAGTTTTAATTGGAGTATTGCATTCAAAGATACGTCCATAAATCTTAAGCTCCAAATATCTAAAAACCATTCTTATGAAAAACAAAATTTGGAGACTAGCTAAATAAAATTAAAAATAAATTGACATCTTTGTACTTAAATGCCATTGATGTTATTTAGTATGAGTCATTATTATATTTAAAATTTTTTTTAGTTTTTCAAATTAAAATATAATTGGTCTTTTTACCCTCTCCTCCCTCCAACTCTTCCCAGGTCTCTTGCCTTACTAGCTCTCAAATTTATGACCTCTGGCCTCTTTTTCTTAATTGTTATTATATAGATAAGCTTGTATGTATTTATATCTATATATCCCTAAATATATAAGCATAATCTACTCAGTATGTAATGTTACTATATGTATATGATTTTAGGGCTGGTCACTTGGTATTAGATAGCCAACTGGGGGATTGTTTCCTGAGAAGATAATTTCTTCTGCTCTCAGCATCCCTTAGGTAGCTGTAGTTCTTTGTCTAGGGTTGAAGCCCTGTGGGATTTCCCACCTCCATGATAGTGTATCTGTTGGGGCCATCCTTGTTTGGGTCTTGTTTAGGCAGCCATATTGATGAGACTTCATGGGTGTAGCTTCTTGACACTCAGTCTCATAGCACACATCCTGTTCCTCTGACTCTTACAAATGATTAATATTTTTATTGTTGATTTTTGGCTTGTTAAAAAGAAGAAAATAAATAGAAACATTCCTGAGTTCATGAGGAAAAGAGGAAGATAGGACAGGACAGTGGTGAGTAAGTAAGATGTATGAGAAATATAATAAATATATGACAATAAATGATAGTTTAAATAAAACCATAGATAATGTGTGTGGTGCATCTATGAGAAAAACTGCTGTCCATTACAGTTTAGTTACTGGTGGGGAGGGTATAGAGAAACAACTATTTTAGTATTAGTTTTCAGTGTAGGTTTTTTTTTTACTTGTTTTGATCTATTTTTATTCATGAGTCTTGATATAAAGTGCAAACAGTATTGCAGTACAAATAAAGTATGTTAGAGAAAGGTTTGTGAGCTGGGGAGATAGCCCAGGCAGTAAAATGCATAGACGCATAAGTAGTTGAGTTCCATGTACATTTAAAAAATAATTGTAGGGGTAGTGTGTGCTGCGACCTTTGCCTTGGGTCTTGCTGGCCAGCAACATAGCTTACTTAGCAACTAGTTTGAGGCCTATTAGAGACCTGGCCTTGGAAACAAAAATGTGAGTGGTGCTTGTGAGAAAATACTGAAGCCTTCTTTTGGCCTTCACAAGCATGCTCATACTTGGAAATAAACATATACACAAAACAAAAGGATCTGGTTGTTATAATTGCTTATCTGTTTACCAAATATGCATATTCCATAAATATCTTGGAGAAAAGTGTTAAGGTAATAAAAGTTTTAATAGAGTCTCCGGAAGACAAACTGTTTTCACCATTTTTATAAAATTATGTTGCTAAAGATCTTTGTATGCTGCCCTGACTCGTCTGGGATTCTTCGTTTGTCCTCTTCATTCTCCCGAGTGCACAGTGTCAGTCTGTGCACTTTTCAGTGAGGTACTTCTGTCTCGTTAATTTGTAATTACAAAGGAGAATTGAAAAGCTATGTGCAGTGTTGATATACTTCTCTAATAGTTGTGCTTTTCTTATAGATTCAAGTAAAAAGACAGTTGAGAGAAATAAAAGACAAGGAAAGTGAAAGGTCTTTTAAGAAACAACTCTTCTATCATGAAAGTTCCAAAAGCGATAAAAGGTTAGTGATCAGCTTTACAAGTGGGATTTGGTATGATCATGAGTAGTTGAGTAAAAATAACTTTGGCAGCTTCATACTACAGACATACAGTACATTGAGATGAGGTTCACTTCATTTCTTTTCTCCCTCCCCATTCCTGTTAAGTAAAGGGGTGCAGCAGCATTTTTGCCTATAAAAAGCTCCAGTTACAGTCGTTAGAGAAGAGAATGTGAAATGAATGGAAGGTGACACTCATGCATGCTTTTTTTTTTTTTTTGCTGGTACTTCCAATTGCTCCTTTAAAAAAGTAATAACCTCTCATACTTCTGTTTTGCATGGCTCAGTAGCCAGTCATCATAAGTCAATAAAATTGCTTTAGTACTGAAATAATACAACTCATATTAAAATCTAGTTTTGCCTATTACTATTTGATCTGAGTTCATGAGAGTATTTAACCATTTATTGTCTTCCAGTAGTATTAATAAGATTTATGCATAATAGATTTATTATGATGGGTAGTGAATTAAAAATAAATGAACATGCTGGGTGGTAGAGGTACATGCCATTAATCCTAGCAGTATTCAGGAGGCAAGAGGATCTCTTGAGTTAGAGGCCAGCCTGGTTGACAGAGTGAGTTCTAGGACAGCCAGGGCTGGGCTGTATTGTCTTGAAAAACCATTTAAAAAGAAAAAATAAGTGAACAAGATTTTTAAGAAAATCTTTTAAACTTTTATCCATATCTACAGAAAAAGGATCCTCATTCGAGAAGATCTATTGTGTGAAAAATTTCATGACTTCAAGGTGTTGTATAGTAAGTAACTCTGCTCAAGTGTGTGTGTGTGTGTGTGTGTGTGTGTGTGTGTGTGTGTGTGTGTGTGTGTTGTAACTTAGTGTTTGCCAGATCCTCTCCCTCACCTTCCCCCCAAGACAGGGTTTCTCTGTGTAGCCCTGGCTGTTCTGGAATTTACTCTGTAGACCAGGCTGGGCCTCAAATTCACAGAGATCTGTCTGCCTGTCTTTGTCTCTTGATTGTTGGGATTAAAGGTGTGTGCTACCACTGCTGGCCCTAGATTTCTTAGTAATACTTTGATTTTGAAAATAGTTGATAATGGAACTTTTTAGATCTCTTCAAAATTACTTTACATTACCTTACAAATGGCGGTCATTTGTGCTGTTCCCTATTTTTGTTCTCTGTGCTTCGGTTGAAGGGAGAAGGAAGGAAAGGAAGTGTGTGTTAAGAGAAAAATAAAGTTTTCTGATTACTTGGTGTTTAGTAACCTGTATTGTAGTCTTATTCCACATATTCAGGGGAGGTGTAAAATGTCCATGAATCTTAGACATTTGGAGTTTGGAGTATTTGCATAGATTGGCTGAGCATTACCTTAGGGCTCTTCTACCTTGAAGTGAATTTTAAGTTTGGTTTGTTTTTACCATTTGTAGTAAATTTAGCTTACAAAAAAAGTCTCAGGCATTTCCCTTTTCTTTTTTTTTTTTTTTTTTTTAAGGGGGGGTGTATGTAGTGACAGTGTGTGTGTGTGTGTCTTGGTGTCCTCTTTAATCAGTCTTTCACTCTGAGTTTTTGAGACAGGGTCTCTTTCTCACTGAACCTGAAACTAGATCATCAGCTCAGTTAGATTGGCTGGCCATTATCCTTTGGGATCCTCCTGTCTCTGTTCTTCACTCTGGGATTACAGGTGTCTGTTCCCTTAGTTAGTTGTTACGTGGGTTCTGGGGATTCACATGCAGATCCCTGTGCTTGTACAGCAGACGTTTTACCACCTGAGCCATCTCTCCAGTTCCTTTCAGGAATTTCTCAAGGACGTGCTTTCTCTATATAGTTACTAATCTGTTAAATTTGGAATCAGTCAGTCAGACTTTGAATACCTGTTTATCACTCAGCTCACAGCTGCCTGTAATTCAGCTATGGGGAATCCGTTGCCTCTGGACTCTGGGTACCAGCACTTATGTGTACAGACTCATACACAGACACACCACCCATATGTGCTTAAAAATAATAAAACAAATCTTAAAATAAAAAGAATATATGCTTTATGCTGCCTAATTTGAAATTACACAGAAATAATTTCCAGATGAGGACAAAAGAAAAAGTGATAAGCAACATGGCAGCAGCACTGATGCACCAGATGCAAGGCCAGTCAGCACTTTAGATTTACCACAGTCAGCGGAAGAACCGGGCGCTTGATCTGAATTGTCAGCGGCCAAAATGACTTCGGCTAACCAGGCCAAACACCTCACTTCCCATTGGGCAGCTCCTGCTTGAGATGAACACAGCTAACTGTCCTAATAGCTGGATAGGAAGCCCTAAATATGTTAATTGCATGTAACGCTTGAAGACTTGTATGTAAAATTTTTTAAAAGTTAAAACATTTGCATAAGGTGATAGAAAATGTTGATTAGAATCATGCCCATAAGGCTCTAAGCATGACAGTTCTATTTATTGTAGCCTTACGCATTTTCTCTTTATTTGTGGTTTAGTAAGATATTATGCAATTAGCATTTGGGAAAGTTTTTTTTTAATGCAAATAATACTAGATATGAAACACTCCTAGACACTTTGACATTCTTTATCAATGTCAAAGGTGTACAGACTTTTGAAATAAAATGTGAGGCAAGTACCAGTAACCAGGTTCTGTTTGTTTGTTTGCTTGTTTTATAGGAAACTTTTCAAACAATAAAATGAGGGAAAAGAAAAATGCCACAGTAAAGACAAAGGTTTGTTGAAATAAAAAAATACCTTCTTTTAAAGATAATAACATTTATAGTTATTTAGTGTTTAAGGTGCATACCAATACTTTAAAGTAGTTTTGTTTCTGGTTTTATTAACAACTTTTTATGTTTTTAGGTTCAAGGATCAAATCAGTGTACGGATCCTTGTATCGGAAATTATGTGTCCAGTTTGTTTTCCTCTGGCAGCCACAGTGTGGGACCTCAAACCCATAGAGCTTCCTGGTTAGTATTTGGTCTTTACACTTGGGTTTTAATCATAATTAACTTTCGGTAGAAAATTTGACTGGGCTCAGTGAAAGTGATGAGAACTAATTTTTTTATTATTGTTATTCCTATTGAAAAACAGACTAGTTCCAGCAAAGAGAAAACTTGTTATTTTGTGATAGTCTGTGTTCTACAGTGCTTGCCTATATCAGTGATCTTTGTTTTAGTAGTAAATTGCTGTGTATAATTTTGATATATGCTGGAGAAACAAGGTATTTGTGAAATTGTAAGAGTAGTACCTATTAAAACAGACCTATTTTAGAGCTGATTCTGTCTTCCTTGGATGTATAGTGATTTACAGATAGATGTTGAGTATATGTTTTTGTGATTTAAATATTGAATTAAAATTACACAAATTTAACTGAACCAAAAAGTAGAACACAATTGTGATATTTTAGGGCTTGGCAGAGTACTCAAGAAACAGTTACATCTGAATCCCTTTGTGAAAAGCTAAGCTAAATCTATTTTTGGTTAAGATAACCACACCTCTTTTTATTTTCATATTTTGTTCTAAAGTAGGGCATGATTGTCCTGAGTAAGAATTTCTTTCACCAGTTGGAGTTAATATCTGAATAGAAAGTTGCCTAAAGACCTCATCGCTAAGTACCCATGATGGAGCGCTGCTGTAGTCTGGCAGTACAGCAGGTCAGCTTGACCCCATAGTAAGTTTGAGACCATTTCACAAGGCAGACAGTATCCTGCCACATAATGTAGGATTCCAGGTGTAGTGTGCATTATTTAAATGTTTTGCTTTGTAGTGTAAAAAAGCAGGGATATGCTTATTTTGAAAGTGTGGAAACTATTGCTATTATTTCATATCTCAGTTTTTACACTTGTTAATTTTTGGAATTCTAACGAAAGTTTAAATTTATTTTTTTAGTACAGAATCTGTAGAAGTCAGTGAAATCAATGCATTGATTAGGCAAAAACGACAGGAATTGCAGTTGTCATGGTTCCCTAATACATTACCTGGAATTGGAAGGTAAAAATTGTTCACTAAAATTGATATGCTAATGTAAACCCAAAAATATCATTAAATTCTTAAGTATATGTTTCATATTTGATGGTATCATATCTTCTTAAGGAGTGTCTTTTACAAGTATAAATTAAAAGTATATAAAATAAAAAATGAATTAAACTTTGGTGTTACAAATGCCTACTGAAGACTATCTGTGTACTGTCTGCTGAGTCATTGTTTCCGTTTCCAAACATTCTCTTGTGAATAATGATCTAGTCGAGTGCCTGCTCTGCCCTGGCCTTCAGGCTTTCTATAATCAGTCCTTTTTAATAGTCCCAGGGCTGGGGCAGTGCCAGATACACACTACTGACTCAAGCTGCTGCGTGCATTGATGAGCTCCTGAACTTTGTATTCTTTCTCTGTTAGAAGATCTTGTCACCGTGATAGAATTCTGTACCTAATGCCTTCATTGTCTAGAAATGGTGGAAAATAAATATAGAAAATGCTTGAAAAGTGGATCGGGCTTGAATGCAGAAAATCTTGAGGACTCTTAACTGGTCCACGCCATTCCTGACAACTTTGAAAAGACATCACTCAGTTTAAGAATTTTAAAATGTAAATGTAGCATAAAAATTCTTTCAGTAGGTGACCTGAGGGAGGGAGAATGGTTCAGAAGAATGGGAGAAAGCTTACTGAAAAGATAGAAATGGTCCTTCTTATGTATGAATATACATATTGGCTAAAAGTCATCAATTATATACTTAAAGGAACTTATCAGTTTGAGTTCACCTCAAAGTTAGTATTTTTTTATAGTAGCAGAAGAGAATAAACATTAAAATCTTTTTGTAAAGACTAAATTCTTTTATTTTTTTGAAAACATATAATTATGTCTGTGTGTGAATGTACATATGTAAATACATATGTGGCTGCCTTTGGAGGCCATGGGAGGGATAGGATCTCTTGGAGCTGGAGTCACAGGCAGTTTGTGAGCCACATAGCATGCATGCTGGGAACTGAACTAGAGTCCTCTGAAAGAGCACCAAGTACCCTTAACCATTAAGACATTGTTCTATACTCCCAAGCAACATCTTGATAAAATGTTTCATTATTTAAAAGAGAAGGAACTATATTCTGAATTCTTTATCTTGTTTTAACATAAAAATATGCCTTTAGCTGGGTGGTGGTGGCTCAGGCCTTTAAATCTCAGTGCTGGGGAGACAGAGGCAGGTGGATCTCTGTGAGTTCAAGGCCAGCCTGGTCTACAAGGACAGGCTTCAAAACTACAGCAAAACCCTGCCTCGACACCCCCCCCCCCCAAAAAAAAAAAAAAAACGCCTTTAAACATTAGATTTTTTTTGTTTTGTTTCCTTTGCAAATTGTGACCATGTTTGGGTGGTGAATAACCTTGAGTTTACATGTTTAGGTATTTGGGCAAAAGCATAAGCTCTGCATTTTAATATTACTAATTTAATTTGGAGAATGCTGTAGTTTTAAATTCCGAGCTCAGTTTTTAGACCACATAACTAAAGAAGCCTTTGCTTCAATTTTCAGAGTTGGTTTTGTACCTTGGAGTATTGAGACAGAAGTCCTTCCTCTGATTGCCTCTGTGTTGCCAAGGACTATTTTCCCAGCAAGTACCACGTCATTAGAAAATTTTGGTAAAGTTTGTGAATTTTTTTGTTTTAAAAATAATTATTAGCTCCTTTTACTTTGACAAACATGTGAGTGTTGATGATTTAGAATAACTAAGTTAATTAGAGTAACTCTTGACTATTTCTGTAAATGAGTATTTTCTTGCTTTAAAATCATTACCACTGTGTGTGCACAGTGGATTATCATGTAGCCATTTAAAAGGGAGGAGCCCCATCTTTTGTAATGAATGAACCTGGAGGACATTATGCTAGGTGATAGAATCCAGGCACAAAATGACAGTAAACATAATTACCCTCATGTGGAATTGAGATCACCATGGCAGTTACCATGAAGTGGAGTGGGCTATGGTTGAGACGTGAGATTGGGAAGTTACTGATCAAAGAGTACAAAGTCAGAGTAAGGAATAAGGGCAGTGGATCCAGTGTATATACGGTGATTATGTTCATAGTATCATCTTGGAGATTGTGAAATTTCTATACCACACACAAATACAGCTATGGGAATGGTGTGTTAATTAGCTGGATTTTTTCATTTTACAGTATGTACTTTATAATGTCATGTGAAAAATACAGCAGACATGGAGAAACTGTCTTTGTTTAGGTTTCTAGTGTCTAAGTCATGGCTATTTAGAAATCACATCTGTGAATTCATTATAAACAAATAGTCTTCACATTCACTCACAGGTAGCATTTCCTGATTCCTTTGCCTAGAAAGTGTTCTTAAATGGTTTGTGCCTAGAGCCACGCCTTCCTTTTTTTCTGTAGTTTTCCACCTCCGATCTGGCTGTACCTTTATTTTAGCAGCATTGACAAAATAATGGTGACTGACTGGATGATGTGGCACATGTCAGCACTTGGGAGGTGGAAGTAGGAGGACCCAGGAGGTCAGGGTCATTCTTGGCTACATAGTGAGTTTAAGGTTAACCTGGTATATAAGAGACTGTCTCAGTCCCCCAAATATTGATGAATCCACCTATTACTCATTTGTTAGCAGAGACACACTAAACAGCTTGATTCACAAATACTCTGTTGTACTATATTACAGGCAGTTGTTATTTTGATACTAACTAGAGTCAGGTTATGTTTTGAAACACATTAAAATACCCTTTTATTTTTCAACATTATCAGGTACTTTTCATAAGGGATATGCATTAGCACATGCCCAAGGAGGAGGAGAAAAAAAGCAAACTTCTGGCACATCAAATACCAGAGGATCAAGACGAAAACCTGCAACAACTGTTCCTACAAGGAGGTCTACACGAAACACAAGAGCTGAGACAGTTAGTCAGCACCAGAAGTCCCCAGTGTCAAATAACTCTGAGTGTGATGCCCCAGGGAATAGTAATTCCTCTGTAAGTATTTCCCCTCCAGCTGAATCAGAAAAGCAAACAAGACAGGCTCCAAAACGGAAATCTATAAGACGAGGAAGAAAACCACCTTCATTGAAAAAGAAACTTCGTAAATCTGTACCTCCCCCTGAAAAAACAACATCTAGTGATTCAGTAGAGGAAGAAACAGCCGACTCTGACACACCACCCATGTTGGAGAAAGAGCAACAGTCAGGTGTGGAAAGTAGTAGCGTTTCTTCTGTTCAAACAGATGGAGAAAATCATTTGGTTAATTGCTTGAAAAGTTGCAGTGAACAGACAGAAGAAGATGAACAACCTAAGAATCATGAGATAGAAGAAGAAGTGGAATTTTCATATTCTGAATCTTGTACTCAGGATCCTCCTGTGCTTGATGGAGAAGATACAGGTATGGAGGCTAAGGAGTTAAGTGTAGACCATGAACTTTCTACAGATACTTCTGCAAAAGGAAGTGATCCATTAGAAAAAGAGCAGGCACCTGGAAGTTCAGAGTCAGAGGTTCAGGCACTTGTGTGCACAGAGAGCCCTCCTGATGATTTTCTTACATGTCCAACTTCTGACAATGAAGGACCTCAGCCAGTGTCCAGTCCCCTGGGTGAAGTGTCTGCAAATACAGGGTCCACAGGTAATGATGAAAAAATAGAAGAGAGTCTTACAGTGGAAAGTACTGATTTGAAAGATTCTTCAGTAAATACAGACGGATTTGTAGCGAGCCCCAAATTGGAAACTTCTGAGGGTGAAATCACACACACATTGGACAGACACTCTGTTGCCAGCTCAGAAACTAAGTTGCCTGAGCATGTTCAGGCTGAAACTACAGAAGTAATTCCAGCATGTGACACTTCAGAAAATGAAAGTTCCGGTGCTATTCAAGATTGTGAAGATAATTCATTAAAGCATGATCTTGACAACACCCACCTGGACAAATCTTTAGAAGAAAGGACTGAATCTCTGATTGAAGTTCCCCTACCCATAGAGTTATCTAACACCGAGATTGAACAGAGTGAGAAACATTTTAGTGAAGATAACAATGAAACAGTCCCTATGGAGTGCGACTCATTTTGTAGTGACCAGAATGAGTCTGAAATGGACTCATCTGTCAAGACTGACTCCAAACAACTGAGTGAAGATTCTGTCGCACACAGTTCCGAAAACAACTTACCTTCTGATCCTACTGTTGAGAAGACTGAAACTGAGGCTCAGCCAACTGAAAGCCTAGTGGATAAAGCCCCAAAGCCTCGTACTCGAAGATCTAGATTTCATTCTCCATCTACAACTTGGTCTCCTAACAAAGATACTGCACAAGAAAAGAGGCGGACTCAGTCTCCATCTCCAAAAAGAGAGGCTGCAGTAGAAAGTAAGAGTTCTCAGTCACCATCGCCTAAGAGAGAGTCTGGCAGAGGACGAAGAAAATCTCGTTCTCTCTCACCGAAAAAAGATGTGTCAAGAGAAAGGAGGCAGTCTCGGTCTCCAAAGAGAGAGAATGCTAGGGAAGCCAAAAAGTCGGAGTCAGTGTCCCCAAGAAGAGATGCTCCTAGAGAGAACCAGAGATCTCAATCCAGAGTGAAAGATTCTTCCTCAAGAGAACAGTCTAGGTCCCGGAGCAGAGAGCGAGACAGTGAAAGAGATGGGCAGAGGAGAGATCGAGATAGAGAGAGGAGAGCCAGAAGATGGTCAAGGTCCAGATCTCGCTCTCGATCACCATCAAGATTGAGAACAAAAAGTAAGAGTTCATCATTTGGTAGAAATGAAAGAGATAGTTACTCTCCTCGGTGGAAGGAAAGGTGGACAAACGATGGTTGGAGGTGTCCTCGAGGAAATGACCGCTACCGAAGGAACGACTCAGAGAAACAGAATGAAAACACAAGAAAAGAAAAAAATGACATCGTTACAGATTCTAATGATCCAAATTCCACAGATAAGCATAGAAGTGACTGTCCCAGTTGGGTAACAGAAAAAATAAACTCTGGGCCAGATCCAAGGACCAGAAATCCTGAAAAGTTAAAGGATTCCCATTGGGAAGAAAGTAGAAATGAAAATTCAGGGAATTCTTGGAATAAAAACTTTGGCCCAGGCTGGATGTCCAACCGTGGTCGAGGTGGCCGAGGGAAAGGCAGTTATAGAGGTAACTTTTCCTACAGTGACCAGAGCGAGAACAGGTGGCAGAGCCGCACACCCCTCTCAGGGAGTGACTCCTTCAAGTCTATGGAGCAGCAGCCCTCTAAGCGGAAAAATGAACAAGATCTCTCTTTCGGTACACCTGCAGACAGGTCAGGGTGGACATCTGCATCCAGTTGGGCGGTAAGAAAGACTCTGCCAGCAGATGTACAGAACTATTATTCTCGACGCGGGAGGAATTCTTCAGGTCCACAGTCCGGGTGGATGAGACAAGAGGAAGAAACACCTGAACAGGGTAACATTCTCTGCTTGTTCTTGATGTTTAACTTGTAGAAAGAGGCTGTTAGATAATAGCTTGAGTTGAAAATGATCCTTAATGCAGTGTACTAAAATTATGCTATTAAACCAAACCCTGGTTATTATAAGTCACTCTTAATTATACAAACACATAGTAAATAAACATTTACTTTATTTATTTATATATATACAAATATATGTGTGTGGCCTGGAACTGACTGTAAGAGACAGACTGGACTTAAAAATTCCAAGATCCACCTACCTCTGTCTCCTGAGTACTGGAATTAAAGCCATGTGCCATCATGCCTGGCTAAGTCAGTATTTCTTTAGCACCAAATTTCAACAAAGTCTGAAATACAGTTTTTTAATTTTTATTATTTTGAAATATTATATGCGTAACAACAGCTGCATTAGAGGAATTTGTAATGTTACTATACGTAATTTAACTTGTATTTCATTTTTCTCCAAAAATAAATGCCGTGAATATTCAGTCGGTATGATATCTATAATTTATGTGATCTTTTAAAACTATTTGTTTGAATTAATAATTCTTAATTTTATTTTATTTTACTTTTTTAAAAGATAGTGTCTCATTAGTTATTCCTGGCTGGAATGTGCTAAGTAGAACCAGGGTGGCCTCAAAACCCAAAAAACTGAGTGCTGGCATTAGAAAGCATGAGCTACTACTTGGAGCTTTCTGTACTGACTTTGATGTTTGTTATGTGAACTTACACTAGTCGTTGTGAGCATTTCCTTTTGTTAGAGAGTGATTACATATTATTTATAAATGACAGGATTAAATAAGTAGCTTTGGTGTTGTACCGAGGCTGTTGCTATTTGCTTCTGTGTTTATGATAAGTATAACATCATTTTCTTTTTTAAACAAAGCTTTTTTTTCTTTTAACAGATTCTAACCTAAAAGACCAAACAAACCAAGTTGATGGTTCTCAGATACCTGTAAATATGATGCAGCCACACATGAATGTGATGCAGCCCCCAATGAATGCTCAGCCTCAGCCCATGAGTATCTTCCCATACCCAGTGGGCGTCCATGCCCCTTTGATGAATATGCAGCGTAACCCATTCACCATGCACCCTCAGCTGCCCCTGCACCTCCACACAGGAGTGCCTCTCATGCAGGTAGCTGCCCCTGCCAGTGTACCTCAGGGACCACCACCACCACCCCCTCCCCCACCATCCCAGCAGGTCAGCTACGTCGCTTCACAACCAGATGGCAAACAAATACAGGTATGTTCTTAGTAGCTTGAGTTAAATCAGCATCCAAACATTTAGCAAATAGGATAATAAAGGGTTTCCTGGCATTTAGGAACAGGGCTATATTTGGTTGTATTTTTACTTATTTCTAAATTTTTCATCATTATTTCTTTCGTTAATTTTCATTCCTATCCCCAGACAGGAAAATTGACCAGAAACAAGTGCAGGCTATATGCATGCCATTATTTACATTCAAACTTGTCTGTCTGTCTGTCTGTCTGTCTGTCTGTCTGTCTGTCTATCTATCTATCTATCTATCTATCTATCTATCTGCTGTTTGGTTTGGTCAAATTAGTGAACTCAAGTTAGGATCAGGTTTGAGTTCACTTTTTAAAAAAATTCCCTAAAATTTTAATGATTTTTGGGAGCAAGGTGGTTAGGAACTCGTGAGCACTTGTGATAAGGTTTATGCTGTCTGCTTGGGTAAGCCTTGGACAAAGACATGTCCATTACCGTCTCCTTTAGTTTCATTTTGAGTTTACTGTGCTAAGAGGAGATAAATTCCTGTGCGAGCCAAAACCACGCAGACACTTTGAAAACGTGGTGCCTGCAGCTTTCTCTGTACTTACTTACTTTTTATTGTTGTATGTTTGTTTTGAGTGCCTACCACAGTAGGCATGTGGATGTCAGAGAATCCTGTGGGTTCCAGGGATTGAACACAGGTCGTCAGGCTTGTGTGACAAGTACTTTCACTCAGAGTCATCTTGCCATCATCACACACATAATTTAAAAGACATTTGATATACTTAAGTAAGAGCTCTGTTGAAGAATATATTCACTTTTCTTTAACTGGCCCTTTGTACACTTCTAAAGTAGGTACTTCTCTTAGAAATAAGGTCGAATCACTTTGTCAGGTATTTTGTTTTGTTTTGTTGTTGTTTCTTAGAGACAGGTTTCTCTGTGTAGCTCTGGCTACTGTTCTCAAACTCACAGAGATCCCTCTGTCTCCTAAGTGCTGGGATTGAAGGGGGGCGGTCGCCACCATGCCCAGTTTTTTTTTTTTTTTAGTGTCGATCCTGATAACACAGAGTAAATTTTTTTTTTTGAATACAGTATTCCGTTGACAGATGTTAAACCTCTTTAAAACAGGGCCTTCCCAGTGCTTCTCATGTAAGTAATACCATGGCTACACAGGTCTTGCCTGCTCCATCGGCAGCTCCAGGAAGCACAGGACCAGTTCAGGGACCAAGTTCTGGTAATGCTTCGTCATCAAGTCACGTCCAGGCCTCTAATGCTGCTGTAAAATTGGCAGAAAGCAAAGTAAGTGTTCCAGTGGAGGCCAGCGCAGATAGCTCCAAGACAGACAAGGCAAGTTCAAGGTTGAGAGCAACCTACACAATTCTGTATATAATAAAGATGACCAAATGAGAGCTTTGGTTTTATGAGAGATGGAGGGGATTTATTATTGGAAGTTTCAGATTCTAATATCTGAAGGATTGATGCTTGATATGTTACTGGTAATATTGCATAATCATTTTTAGAGATGTTAGATATATGTTAATAAATGTATTATGTCATATTTGAAAAATTATTCACAATGTCACAGTATACTGTTTTCAGTTTTATAAATTTCTAGAAAGTTTTTGAGATTAAGAGTGGCAGGTAATAATTACACATTTTCTTCTCATCAGAAATTGCAAATTCAAGAGAAAGCAGCACAGGAGGTAAAATTGGCTATTAAGCCCTTTTACCAAAATAAAGACATCACCAAGGAAGAGTACAAAGAGATCGTACGGAAAGCAGTGGACAAAGTAAGTGTAGCTGCAGCCTGGACTGTTTTAACCACCTCTGCTGTAATAACGCTCAAGTGTAGTTAATAAATACTAGATCCTGTTCTCATCTGTTTCTTTACCTTTGAATGGTTTGTATGCGGTATGCACATGGAAGCAGGATGTTCTCTTTTGGGTTTTCATACTACTATCCACTTGGCATTGAGTGTGAAAAACTTTTCCCCCCCTTTCTTTTAGGTTTGTCATAGTAAGAGTGGAGAAGTCAATTCTACTAAAGTGGCAAATCTGGTTAAAGCCTATGTAGACAAGTACAAATATTCACGGAAGGGGAGCCAGAAGAAAGCTCTGGAAGAACCCGTGTCTACTGAAAAAAACATAGGCTGACATGGGGAGCGCTGTAAAGGACACTGTCAAGATATCTGCAAAGTGCAATTCAACGTGTACCAACTGTGATCAGAATCTGGTTTTGATAAAATTATTTTTTTTATTGTAGGATATAATGTTTTGTTTTAAATATAGCTGTGCACTGCAACTTCTATATCTAACCCCACCCCCAATAAAATAAATTCAAGGGAAAATTAAGGGTGTAATGGAATGTGCGTTTTTATCAGGAATGTGTTCTAATGTGGATACTGAAAGATGTACAACTTCTTAAGTGGAGTGCATACATCAGAAACTTGTAGGCATATCTATATATCTATGTATAATACATTTATTCTGTCAGGCTGAAAAGTAACATGATCTTCATGACTCCCCCACCTGACTGTAGAAATTGGAACAATGTATTGCAACTAATAATATTTCTGATATTAATAGAATAAACCAATTACAGGTCCCTAATGTATTTTTGAAGCACATGTCTGAGTAAATGCTTAGGTAAAAAGCAGACCATCATGAGATTTAGCTTCAAGCCTGCAGGTGCTCCTCTCCTGCCGGCACCAGCTCAAGGTCACACTGTGTGTGTTGCTTTTGTGCTCTTCTCTCCCACCCAGAAAAAACAATAGCAGTTTGATTTGCTGGATGACAACTTTGCCAGGTCAAAGCTTTGTTGAATTTAGAAGACCAATATGGGAGACAGCTAGCTTTAAAAACTTTGTTCTTTTATTTTATCTTCTGTCTATCAGTGATGGTGAATTATTTGTGCCAATTGGAGAATTGCTCAGAGATAGGCTATAGGTCAGCTGTCCAATCACAGTGCAGTTCTTCTCACACTGCAGAAGTTTCCGAGTGCTTACAGTGTATGAAGTGTTAATCTGGTAATTGATAGCCATGCTGCAGAAATCTAGGTGTTATTGTGTCTGACAGAAGGAGAGAAAAATAAGATAATGATGTTTTTGTTTAGGATATCAGGGACAAGAGGTTTTTGGGTTTTTTATTTTTATTTTTTAAAGCATTGGGATATGTTAATGTTTATGAAAGGTAAGTTCAGAGTGCTTTGGCACTGTTATTTTCATTGCCATCTAGAAAGAAAAATTCTATGATAAACATTGATACCACTTAAAATTTTGAGGACTTTTTTTATCTGAAAAGATGTCCCATAGCATGGTGATATATCAAGGTGAACACACGCTCAGTGAGACCTACCACTCCCCACTCATGGGGGCAGTGTTTTGTGAGTGCAGGTACCTGACTCTCAGCTCCACAGAGTGCCTCCTGTCTAGTTTTGGTAGGCAGAACCATTCTGAGATTTCAACCCCAGAGTGATCGTACTAGGTAGATAATAAGTTTTGTTAGGTTATGATTACAGTCCTATACATATTTCCAAAAAGCTTTGTTCTTCATTTTTATATTTCTGGGCATTTATGATGCAGTATTTTACAGACATTTTTAATTAATTTGTGTTTAGATTTTGATGGCAGAAGAAGCTTGGAGGTAGTTTCATATACCAGTGGCACACTGTACTCATTTCAGTTCAGAATCCCATAAACAGGTGTGGAACTCTGATGCTGCTTCCTTGCTGACTAGTGGTGAGCCGTGCGCTTCCCTGCATGGTTTTCACTGACTCCTGGGAAGTAGAGAACACTGTAAAATCTGTTTATACAATTTAGGTCTTGCAAACAAGTTTTAAAGCTTAGAAGAAAAGGTAGGTGATGTGATGAAGTGTTAAGGTCTTACGTCTTTGGGAGAACTCCACTGTTCTTGAAATTAACAGGTGTGTGTTCCATATCTGGTAGGGCACTGGTTAGAGCGCTTTAAAGTAGTGAATGTTTACTATTCTAATATATTCTAATACTAGAATATATTCTAACTGGATTAAAATACAAACTTTTAAAGAATGAGTTAGAAAATGCATGCTTTGAGTTAAGAAATAACATTGCTTTTACATTCTTGGTTTTTCTTTCTTTTTTCTTAAATTCACATTAGTTTTGCATGTGTATGATGAACTTAACACAGTTAAGTTGCAGGTTCCTCTTGATCATGACTCAGTATTGACTTGACCTTTGGAACCGTGGGCCCTTTAACTTGCTAGTCACATTGATCCATGTTTCAAGTTGTAGAAATGCCCAATAGTAGTTACTCATTATTTTAACATTCCAAAAGTTTTGTATCTGTTTGTTGACATCTTCTCCATTATCTGCCTTTACATGGCCATGATGTGTACTGCTGACTGTTCCATCCAAAGAAACGTGGCCTCAGAAGCACAGTGGCTGCCTGAGTCTTGAGACACTGCAGTGTGACTTGCAGTGCTGTCTGCTGAAACAACACTCTAAACCAGATTGTGATCTGTAATATATCCTAATAAATTCTCTTGCTAAACAAAGTAGTGTCAAAATTTTATTAAGTTTTCTGGGAAATGATGACTTTTATATCATTTAAACCATTTCCAAATGTGTTGAATTATTTCTTGGATTTTTACCAAAGTAATGAGTATCATGATTACATTAATAGCCAGGCAATAAAATCAGAGTTAGCTATAAGCATATATTTTAATAGTAGTTTTCCTAAATATAATCACTTTAGGAAATTTAAAACCTTTAGTAATTTCTAAAGCTAGACTGGAAACAAAAGGAAAAATCATCTGTAATTCTACCAAAGTTAACCTCTTTCAAGGCTGGCTACAATGCACATTGCTATGTTATAATCCGTTCTTTTCAATTCATGTACTGGGAATATTCCATTTTAATAAAAATTAATTTGACAGCATGACTTTTGGTGACTGCATAGTATTCTATTACACAGATGTATTCGTAAAACAGTCCCTTACTGTGGGATATTTGTTTGTTTAATGTTTTGTTTTTGGAGACAGGATCTCACCATGTAGTCCTGGCTAGGCTTAAACAGATTGGCCTCACACTCAAAGGTCCTGCTTCTGTCTCCTGAGTGCTGGGATTAAAGGCCACCATGCCCAACTTAAGTTGTTTTTACAAGTGTAGATAAAGTAAATTAGTGGAGTGTAAAGTTTAACTAACTTAAAGATGTTTTACCCAGGTGTAACTTATATTCCAGGATTTGGGAGGTAGAGGAAGGATGATCGGGAACTAGAGATCATCAGCTGAGTTTGAGGCTAGCCTGGCTCACAGAGTACTCTCAAACACAAGACACAGAACAGCCTAAAGATGTTAGTAGGGAAATGTTTTTATAGATAAATTTTTATACCTAAATCTTTGTTATTTATGAGTAATTTGAAGAATTAGTTATTCAGTCATTTTTGCTAAATATTCAAAAATTATATAATTTCTGAAAATTGAGTTATTACTAGTTTGTAAAACTTGTTGACTTAAAGTGAACAAGTCTGTAGAGAGCCACCAGAAAATGTTTTTTTTTCCCATTGTCAGACTAGCTTTGTAAGACAAAGTACATTTCCTGTCCCTTCCCTGGTGTGAGCACTGCTCTGAATTGCTGTGTCTGCCTCCTCACGTGTCAGTCTGTCTCCACTGCATTCTGTTAAAGCAGGGTTGCGTCCTAGACAGTGTTGTTTTTTTTTTCTGGCTGTCTAGAGAGCACCCTTTGTGACTGACGATTATACCTTCTATTTCTGTGTACTCAGGTGCGTTGAATTTCAGGATATTCATATTTTAAATCTGGATACTTTATTCTCTGAGAGGAGTTTAAGTCATTAAAGCTATCGTGTCTGTGTTTACATCTTTCTGCACATGATGCCATGCCTGGTGCTCATGGAGACCAGAAGAGGTCATCAGATCCCTGGAACTGGAGTCACAAGTGATTGTGAGCTGCCTGGTGGGTGCTCTGCAGGCAGCCAGTGCTGACTGCCGCTGTCCCCTGTGTGTGTGTGTGTGTGTGTGTGTGTGTGTCCCCGCTCATCAGTGCATACTCTCCTCCCGGAGCTGCTTCACATGTTGCAAACATTTGATCTTGGCACATTTGTGTACCCATTTAATAAATAAAGCCAATTCTAGTATTTTATATGAAAATTGAGGTGTATAAAGATGAGCCATTATCTAATTTCATGGTTACTTAGTGCTAGATTCAGATGTCAGATTTGTAGACATTGAAGTCTGTGCTTGACTGAGCATAGATACCGTGTTAGGAACAGGAAGAGTAGCAGAGGTGACACCAAGTGAAGGTGGAGGACACAGTTCTGCACAGGTGGTGAGTGAGGGAGTGTGCCTGTCATGTCTAACTGCGCCCCTTCATCTTAGTCCAGAGCTTTGAACGTGTTACAGGCAAGTTCTTTACCAGCAACTCACATCCAGGCATGTTTAGTTTTTAAAAAACTTTAATAATTCTTTTGCATATGTGAAACATTTGATCTTAAAGCCATTGGTTTGTTTTTTAAAAAGCCGTACCATTTCCATAAGAAGTTTATAGGAGGTACTGATAGATGGCTCAAGCAGTTAAGATATGTGCTCTTCACTGCTCTTCATAGGACCCGAGTTCAGATCCCAGCACCCACACCATCAGCTCACAGCTGCCTGGAACTCACGCTGCAGGGGACCAACACCTCTGGTCTCAGAGAGTCCCTGCACTTGTGTGCAGAGACCCACTCAGTGAAACACATAATTGAAAACAAATATCTGTTTTAAAGAAGTTTTTTAAATGAGTCAAAACTAAGAAGCTGCCTCCCTGAAATCAACAGAGCAACTAAGTTGACTCCACGTGGATCCTGTCTTGTACTATTAAGAACTCTGTTACAGAACAGGCAGCAGAAAAATCTACATTTTAGCAAAGGAAGGAGAAAGGCAGAACTACAGAAGCTTCTTTGTTGCTGAAGTGTCCTTTGCCCCTCTTCCTCCAGATGCCCAGAACTACCTCCTTCTGCATGGCCCAAGGCAGGATTGTTTTGTTTCTGTCTGCTTGACCAGTTTCCATGGCTGCTGTGGAAATCCCTCTACTTAAGGGTCAGTTGGCCACAGGCACTACAGGCCTTGTCAATTTGAGTAGTAGCCTCTTGGTTTAGGTGATTGAAATGTTTGAATTCTCTCAATGTATCAAGTCTTTTGCAACACCCCATGCTCCTTTAATTTCCAGAATCATTACATACATGGTGTTTATATGTGTTGTCTTTTGATAGTGCAGTTCATCTGAGGCACTGGAATAGTGATCTAGTAGTGCAGCTGTTTGGTGTGTTTATTAAACCATGAAGGGAAGTGGGTACATAGTATATATACCTGGTGTGTGTGTGTGTGTGTGTGTGTGTGTGTGTGTGTGTGGTGCTCCAAGGACCTGGTGGGCAAGTGATGGCACTTTAGTTAACCAGTAGACAGTGAAACCGTGAGAATGAGCGAGCTGGAATAGTAGATGGAAAGTGTTTCTAGCCAAAATTAGCGTCAGAGTCCCAAGCCCAGAGTGGCTACCAGAGAGATTTGTGGAGGTTTAAAGCTAAGCTGTAGCTTCAAGTTGATTTTCCTTTTGCTAGTAGCACACAGTCAGTAGGCTAGAGGTTTAGCTCAATGGTAGGGTGTACCCAGCATTCATGAAGGCATCCTGGGTTTGAGTCCCACCACTGAGGGTGGGTGGTAAAACCACCACAGCTCAATAGAAGTGGTTAAGTCAAAAGTGTTCAACTTTACAAGGCAATACTTAAATTGATTCTGGCAATAGCATCATAACTATGGTGGGGTGCAAGCCTGTACAACACCCTGAAATGCAATTGGAAAATACAAGCCTTACAGAGGTTATAGATTTTTTTTCCCCCTGTGATTAAAACATCCTCATCCACATGTTATCTCTAGTAGTGTGAAGTTGGGGGTTAGGGTTAATATAAACTATGGATTATTTGTATTAAGCTATTTGGGGACTATTTTAAATGTGTGCAGAAATTGGTGCTTTTGTAACAGTAAATGGAGAAAGGGTACAACCAATATACAATACTCTTTTTGAGACTGGACTGTGGACAGTCTTCCTGC